TACATCTGCTAAGTCAAGTTTTCAATATATCATTTTCTGTGTAAATCTTATAGTAGCTTATAAAAAAATACAATAAACTAATCTAACGTAAACTAAAACACCAAGCTGTTTCTGAAGACTCACTTTAGAATTTCAGCAGTATAATAATAATAATATTAGTAATCAAACTACTTAGCAGAAAGTTCTTAGAAGCCTGGAAAGCTGTGTATAAAATGGAGTAGACAGAGGGAAGGGTTTTCCGTACTGTTTAAATCAACTACAGGTCCCAGCATGCAGTGCTCTAATCTGAAGTTAAGCAAAAACTGCAATGCATACTGGGACTTGTAGTAAGTAAACCACTTTATCACAATAAGTTTCAAGAAACTCTGAACTATCTAGCACAATTTGACTATATCTTATTATCAGAGTCCAATCAAATTTAGATCAAATTTGTATGTTCTCTGCTCTGGCACACAGTTTTTCTAGCACATATTGGAAAAAAAGTATCAATATTTAGATCAACATTTTCTCATTAGAAAAATCTTACATAGAAGCACAGAAAAAAATGATTAAAAGTCAAAAAGACAATGTAATAAAAATATAACTTTTGAAACAGTTTTTTAAAGTTTGAATGAATCCATTTCAACACCCTCTAATCCTCTCCCTCAAAAAATTTAATTGTTTTGGCCGGGCATGGTGGCTCACACCTGTAATCCAGCACTTTAGAAGGCTGACATGGGCAGATGACAAGGTCAAGAGATTGAGAGCATCCTGGTCAATACTGTGAAACTGCATCTCTACTAAAAATACAAAAATTAGCAGAGTGCGGTAGCACATGCCTATAGTCCCAGATACTCAGGAGGCTGAGGCAGGAGAAATTGCTTGAACCCAGAAGGTGGATGCTGCAGTGAGCCGCGATCGCGCCACTGCACTCCAACCTGGCCACTGAACAAGACTCAATATAAAAATAAATAAATAAATAAAAATTAAAAAGAAAAAGAAAGCAAAAAAAGAAAAAAAGTTTAATTGTTTTAACAGGTTGCCTTTTAACAATTATTCAAGATATGTTTTATAAATAATTTTTCTTGAAGAAAACTATCACAAGCAAACATTCCCCATATTCTAATACTGCCCACTAGGAAATAATTTTTATAGTAATACATACATACACCATCACAAAAACAAACCAAAAATACTTAAGTTCTGCTTTTGTAAAGTCCTTACTCAACATTTATGCCTTCATTCCTCATCTCTAATTCCCTACACACACACACACACACACACACACACACACACACACACACAGAGAGACTTCAAGAAAGAACACTTAGAAAAACAGTATTCCAACTACAGGCCCACTTCTCTCATCCATTGACCTCTTCCAAAAATACAAAAAAAATTTTTAAGCTATCAGTGACATGTCCAAACACAAGCTGATAAGTCTGAGCTAGAATTTACATATATACAGTTGCTACACACCCTCCTATTTCTGCAAGACTGTGGAAGGAGGCTGGGAAAGAACTAACTGCAATCTGCATCAGGCCTAACACAGGTGGTGGGTTATTTTCAGGCAACAGCACCTTCACAAACATGTTTTGGAATAAAGTCCAAGAAATTCCTAACAAGGAAAGGTAAGCTGGCACACAAATTTAACGCAATCCAGCTAAAAATCATCTGCAACACATGCTACTACATTTCACCATAAAAGTGACAGGCTACTATAAAGGATTTGAAGCTTCATCAATACAACATACTGTCCATAAGGCCAGAGATAGCAGTTGCCATGGTTACTATCACCCACTTTTATCAGAAAATTATTGTCATTACCCCAAAGTTTTGGGTACTCATTTAAAATAAAATAAAAAAAAAAACAATTTAGGGTTCTGACTGTTAACTGAGTGAAAGAATCAACTACAGTTTGATTTGCAAGTATGTCGCTTTGGAGATGCACATGGTTAACAATACTTGGATCTGCAGCAGAAAAAAAATCAATTCCTTTCTGCTGCTCCTTCTCCTCAAGTACTGACAGTTTGTATTCTCAATGCAGCCAAAACAATAAAACAAAACCCATCTTTTTTGGCTTCTGAGTTTAAGTTATTTTTTCCCCCTAGGCCCACAAACAGAGTCAAAAATAAAGCCTAGATCATCAACCTGTTAGGCCTCATCCCCTTCCTATCCCTTCCATACTGGTTCACTTTCTTGACAACTTAAAAAAGCAGAAAACATTTCTGTAACTGATTCCAAAATATAGAAAATAATAGTTGCCTTCAACTGAGACATTTTCACCAAATGCTTTTTTATTCAACGTTTTTTTTAAGGCAGGGAGAGGGGAAGACTTGCAGGGTACTAGAACGGACAAGGGGAGGGGTATTCAAAATGCCACACAAGTCTAGCATAAGAAAGTTGCTTTAGTAAGGTCCAAAGGATGACTGAACCTCACATATAATTTCTAAAAGGGAAGAGTTCACTGTAATTTTAAGACTGAACTGATGGACAAGTAATAGAAAAGTTATTCCTAAAAGTCTATTTCAACATTTTCACAAAAGATAACTATTCAAAAATTTAACACACATCTAAGAATTACATGAAAGCCTACAAAATAGTATGGCCATACACACAAAGTACAAAATATATGCTATTTAAGAAATAATTATCTAAAATAAATTCAGTGCAGTGTTAACATATTTCTTTTTTAAAAAATTCCAAAGCAGCAAAAACATATACCTCGTAAGCCCATGTACAAAAGCTCCTGAGAAGTCAACATAAATCATTAATATTTCCCAGCACAAAATAATATGAAAATTCAAACATGTTTCAAGAAATCAGTTCCAGATATAGATATAAAAGAATTCTGTCAAAGGTCAGAGACCTAAAACTTTAATTCCTTCCTTTCTCTCTTTGAATAGTAACTAAATACAAAAGCCTTCAGCAATAAAACATTAAGGATACAAAATTTAAAAGTACATTAATATAATCTTAACTTCAGTATGTCTTCACAGAAAGCTTTAATATTCACTGTCTATAGGATGAAAAAGTTAATAACACCCCGAGAGAGGTTTCATTTTTATCTAAACAGTTCAATGTTTTCTCACCCTTCACAGAAGCAAGTTTCTATATTTACTTTCTAACGGGGGCAATTTCAAAACAACAGTCACTTCTAAAATTTAAGATACTATACCTTTTGATAGGCTCATAAACACAGGGTCCCTAATTATCTATATTTTAATTTAAAATGTTTCTATCCCAAATTTGTGAGCAGAGTTTATAAGAAAGCTGAAACTTAAGGCTTAAACTTTTGGGTTATTTTTACACAAAAATATTTCAGTGCACTCCTCTACATTTGAGTAGTCATTTCCTCATGTATCCTTCTAAAATAGAAAAACAAAAATGATATATCCACATATACCTAATACTAACACATACAGATATACATCTTTTTCACTGTGAAACAAGCTTGAAAGCTTTAGTCAGTGAGACTCTTTCAGAAAGTTAACAGTCAGTCAAAACATTCAAAACTTTAACCATGACATCTGTTACTCTGTGTTATTAAGAGTCTATAGAAGAATCCAAGAACTTAAACACTCACTAAAATCAACTACTATCATATCACATCAATGGAGAAATGAAGAAAAACTGTAATGGGAACATACAATTCACAAGATCTTCAAAAGGAAAAATGACTTTTTTTTTTTAAATTATAGAAAATTGACTAGGCAGCATTTTTTACATGAAGCTTCACAACTATAACAAAGAGACTTTTGGTAACCACAACAGTACTTAAAAAACAAAAATTTAGATTGGGTGTAGTGGCTCATGCCTATAATCCCAGGACTTTGGGAGGCCCAGGCAGGTGGATCACCTGAGGTCAGGAGTTCAAGACCAGTCTGGCCAACATGGTGAAACCCCGTTATCTACTAAAAATACAAAAATTAGCCGAGCATGGTGGCAGGCACCTGAAATCACAACCACTAAGGAGGCTGAAAGGCAGGAAAACCACTTGAACCTGGGAGGTGGAGGTTACAGTAAGCTGAGATAGCGCCATCGTACTTTGGCCTGGGCAACAGAGTGAGACTCCATCTCAAAAATTATAGTGTCCAGGGTGCACTTTAAATGCATTTCTCTGATATGGAAAAACTTAGCATTTTAAGACAGAAGCCTCTGGCCATGTATTAATTAGTTACCTATCTCAACAACTTAATATCTGCATGATTTCTTACCATTTATGAAGAACTTTTACATGTATTATCTCATTTGGTCTTACTAAGAAAATAGTATTATGCCTACAAAATAGACAAAATTCAAAGCAGATTTATCAAACTTTCTAGCATCCTCAAGTTGTTAAAACTTTGACACAAAACTTCACAAGCAACCACGTGGCATGATATTTCCAGTGATAATCAATTGACCTAACACTAACAGAGTTTCAGAGGACCATGTGCTGTAAATGCTATGAAACTGTTAAAGTAGCTATATTCATCTTTATGCAGTTATTGTTACATCAGCAATGACCTGCCACTGACAGAACTTTACTTACAGTTCAAGAATCTCAGTCTTTGCAGGCTAACTTAAGTATATCTACCATATGTATTTATGATGCTGAGTGAGTAAAAATTGATGTACATTAGAATCATTGTCTGTAAATCTGATGGGGGAATAAAACCAGAAGAAGTCTAAAATTTTTTCCACACACTATCCCCCTTTCCAAAATCTCAACTACTCTATACTATTTGTATTAATATTATTAATATTATAGGGATGATAACAAGGCTTAAAGCCCTAAATCATAGCAACTACTTTTGTTTATAAAAACTACAAATAATTTTTTAAAAATACTTGCTCAACATCCCACTCATCAACAGAAGACGAACTCCCTTTCCAAATAAAATAATTCTAAACAGTGCTCTGTACCTAGGCCCAGAATCCTTAAGCTATCCACAATCACACACCTACTTTGTATAGTCAAAGACTTCAGTTTCACATAGCAAACATAATTTATGATTGAAAGTTTTAAATGGACTTACTCAAAATCTTTCTGGAACTTTAAGGTGTTAATCCTGTTGCTTAGCTGAAGCTAAGTAGAGCTGTAATAAGTAGCAAGACCCTCAAAACTCAAAAATATCCTTTATCTTGCTGTAGCACCTCCTGCTGGATAGCATTTAGAGATCTTCATGTAAGCAGAAGAAGAATATTTCAGAGGCAGGTCCTTCCAGATGACTGAATAGGAAAAAGGATGGACCCCTCAAGGCTAAAAGAAATAGGCCCCATCCATCACTTATACCTTCTAAAAATACAATTAGCCCAGGTACCTGTCTTTTTCATCTATTACTACTCCAGTTCCATAACAACTTGCCTGAGTTCAAAATATAACATGCTTAAATCAAGCCTGCAAAAATTATCTAAAAACTAAGTTAAAAAGCCTTCAATAGCACCCAAGCAAAAAACTTTATTATGGGCAGCCAAGCAATGCCAGTCAAACTGAAAATACTATTATGTTATCAAAAGCAAAAGTCTGATGTTAAAAAAACAACAACAAAAAAAGCACCTGGAAGATTTTTAACATGTTAGCCAGATGTTTGTACTTTGAGAACTCTGTCCACTATTACTATGCTCTTCACTTAAGGATATTTGTAAATCTACAAACGTTTTAAGTACAGAAATTTTTAAAATAAACATTAGTATAACTGCACACAAAATTTCCTCTTTGCCATCAAAAGATAAGTCCCTGGATTTGAAAATGTATTTTTCAGACATTTTTAATGACCTTCTAAAACAAACTAGCTTAAGCCCACAACACAGATTTCATAAACAAGTGAAGACAGAAGAAGAGAATAAGAAGGAACTTACCAAAATTAAAATGAATAATAGTATTTCCAGTAAAAATGTAGTAACAGTTTCCAACAATGCTGTAAACCAAGTAAATGGTGAAACTTAAAGAAGGAAGGAGGGGCCAGACTTCAAAGACCAAAAGCAAAGCTGACCTATTTATTTCTAATGCCCAAATTAGAGCGAACACCCGAAGTAAACAAATATCATAAATACTGAAAAGTATGCTAACATGGTTTAGCCCCAATTTCAGTACCCTTATCTGGCCCTCAATAAAGCTACAGATATTGATGAGAATCCTCTCAAAAAGGAGATAATTCCAACCCCTCGCCTTAAAGAATCCCTAACAAGAGAACCTGTGAAAAGGCTTCCTTCCCAGAGTGTACAACTGCTTTAAAACAAACAAACAAACTTTCATCAGCCCAAATTAATCTGATTCTAATATTCAACTACCCATTATTTATATATAAATGTTCTTCCCTCACTAACTTCTCCAGCTCAGTCATCTACATTCCTGACACCGACTATTAGCAAAAATGCACAACTCGTTCCCCAGCTATGGGGCAAATCTTTGAAATCCGAAACACAGCCACAAAGTTCACTGTCAAGGCCAGGTAAGGAGGCCCACACAAGTGCAGACCTTCTCTCAGATCTGAAATTCTAGAAATCCATACTCCTAGAGACATCATTTTAAAAACAACACAATGTGAACGTGCAGAGTGAGATTCTCTACTTCCAGACCTAAACAAAGAATATTTCAACATATGACCGGAATATGATGACACCAGATTCACCAATGAAAACAAAACCTGCCGACCATTAGCAGTCGTACCCTCATCACAACTCAACTACTTAGAAATCACTCTTGGCACATCTGCACCCCACAACCGGCTTGTGGCCTTCTCCGGGGGTGCAAGCCACAGACAAAGTTGAAAGGAGACGTTCTCTCCCGGTGCCCAATCTCGATACCAACCCCTCCTCTACCAGGGCCACCTTGCTGCTACCCACCATCGCGAACGTGGTCAGGGGGAGAAAAAAAAAAATCCTAACAGCACCGCTCAGCAGAATAAAGAGACCAAAGAGAGGATGACGAGAAGTGTTGGGAACTGCGTGCACGACGGGGCTGGACCAAACGGAAAGAGTCCCACTCCGCGCGCCCCTCCCCCCGGCGGGGGCGCGGGCGGGGGAGGGGCGGCCGCGGCCCCTCTCGGAGCGGCCTGTCCGCCCCGGCCCGCTTGGGGTCCCGGGGGCGCCCCGCGGCCGCCGGCGGCGGGGGCGAATGCGGGAGGGCCGGCCCCGGGGTGAGGGGTGCAGGCAGACTCTCCGGAATAACAAGTTGCAGAAGAAGAAGAATAAGCGGAATTTCCCCAACGCTGCTCCGGCCACCCAAGACAAATGCACCAACACACTCACACTCACACACACATACACACTCACACACACACACACACTCGGGCCCGGCAGCGTCAGCAGCCGCAGCTTTTTTTTTTTTTTTTTAACCAGATCCCTCAGTCACCAAACAAGATGGTTTTCCAAAAAAAAAATTTTTTTAATTAAATAACCATAATAAAAACTTCCCCCCGACAGCATCCCAGGGTGGGGTGGGGGGGGTGGAGGAGCCCCGGCTACCCTCCCCGGGCCAAGGGACAGCAGAGGGGGGCGGGCGAGGCTCCGCGCCCCCCGCCCCCGCCCGCGGCCCCCGGCCGGCCCCCCACCGGGACAATGTGACACCCCCTCCCCGCCGCCCCCGGCACGCCGCCTCTGTCACCCGCTCCGGCCCTGCACTCTGCGCCCAGGATCCCGAGGCTGCTCCTAAACTTACTTCCAATTTATCCTAGGGAGGGGTGGAGGGCAGAGGGGAGGAGGGGGGGAGCCAAGGTTTTCCCATTGTCTTTTTTTTCGGGGGGGAGGTATGGGAAGGGCACGCAGGGGGGCGCCCCGAAGGGGAAGTTATTGCTCAAATCTCAAGTTGACTGAGGGGTCCTGACGAGAACACCCCCCTTTCCCTCCTCCCTCCCACACACCCCTCCCCTCCCCCTACCTCCCCCCACAACAAACTCCAAGCAGGCAGCCCCTGATCCTCCCAGAGACAAACACAAGCGACAAGACAGAGGGAGAGAGGAGAGAGGCAGAGGGGGAAGGGGGAGGGAGGGGAAATAGAGCTACTCCAGAAAAAAAGAGAGAGAGTGAGGAGAAGAGAGAATGGAAAAGCTGGGATACTGCACCCTCCTGCTGCTGGCTGGCTGTCCCCCCTGGCAGCTGGAGGCAGGAACTCTGAGCAGGAGAAGCAGGAGGAGGAGGAGGAGGGAACTCTTCTTCATGGGGAGGGAGGGAAGAAGCTGGAGCTGCTGCTGCTGCTTCTGCTGCTGCTCTGGGCCTCTCGCACTTTTTAGATATTAGTGTGTTAAGATGGTAGGTTGTTCCCTTCTCCCTCCTCCTCCTCCTCCTCCTCCTCCTCTCCTCTCTCTCCCTCTCTCTCCCTCTCTCTCTCTCTCTCACTCACTCACTCTCTCTCTCTCTCTGGGCTGTTTCTTTCCTCCTCTTCCCCAGGCAAGGGGGGGGTGGGGAGGAGGGGGTTGGGGGGAGGAACTGGATCCTCCTCCTCCTCCAGGAGGGACACACACAGGCCCCGGGCCGGAATCGGGAGGGGGGAATCAGAGCAGCAGGAGAGAAACTGTGAGAGACAAACAAGCCCAACTCTTCATCCTCCTCCTCCTCTCAGCAGCAGCAGCGAGCACCACCAGCCCATTCACCACCCGGCCCCGGGCCGCAGCACCTCCGCCGCCTCAGCCCGGGGATCCCTCCGCCCAGGCCCAGACACACTCGCCCGCGCGGGAGCCCGCCGCGCGGCCCCGCCGCCCCGCTGCCGCCGCCGCCGTGCGCGCCCCCGCCGCTCCCGAGAGCCGGGCGAGAGGGACTGGGGCTGGAAAAGCGGGGACGAGGGCGAGGGGAGAGTAGGCGCCGGGAGAAAGCGGGCCGCGGCGGGCAGGGAGGGGGCCGCCGGTCGGAGTGGTACGGCGGCCGGCCCGGGCCCCCGCGCCTCGGCCTGCGGCTACCGGGACGTCTGGGTCCCGCCACCCCCGGTGGGGCGGCGGCGGGGGGGACGACGGGGGCCCGCGGCGGCGCTCGGGCAGGCGGACTACTTGACGTGTCGGTGCGGCGAATTTATTTCACTTTGCCTAAGGAACGGGGTGTGCTGCGGCGCCCATTGCCTAGGGAAAAAACCCGGATGTAAAGTGAGTGAAACTAAACTAGAGTGAAGTAGGGCAGCGGCAGCCAAACTCCAGTGCAGCGGCGGCGACGGCGGTGATGGGGCCGAGCACCTAGCGGCGGCGAAGGCGGCCAAACTCCGGGGCCGCCGCAATCCCGGGCTCGTGCAGCCGCAGCCGAGGCGAGGCCGGCGCCCGCGGCGGCCCCCCCAACTCCGCGGCCCGAGCCCAACTCCCCCCTCCCGCCCGCGGGAGCTGCAAAGGGGCTCCGAAGCGGCCCCAACTCCCTCCAGTGCAACAGCAGTTTGAAGGGGGGGAAAAAAGCCGCGATGGGCAGGAGCGAGGAGAAGCGATGAGGAAACACTGCAATGGGAGAGCGTGGTCCAGGCAACAGGAGAGATGCAACCTCAAGCCGAATGCAACATGCAATCCCCGGCAGCCGCTCGCCCGCTCCCTCCCCTTGCCACCCCGCCCCCTTTCCAAATAACTACCCTTGAACCACTTTATTAGCAGTACTTAGTCCCGCACTCGCTCCCGGGAGGGGCGAGGAACGGGGGCCTTGGCTCACCTTTATTTATTGCTGCTTTCTCCCCCCTCTCCATGTTTTTTATTCCTAAGTTCTTTTGTTCTAAGGGGGATGATGGCATTTACTTTTCTGCTTTGTGTAGCAGGGCAATCACTGGGAATCGGCCACGTATAATCCGGCGGTTTGTCATATTTTATTAGTGAAAGTATTTTATGCCTGTTCTACCTCCAAGGACTGTAACATGGAGAACTGCAGGGAGGAGAAAAACATCAGAAGAATTCTTGTTTTTGAGGGATTTCTTGGCGGGGCGGGGGAAGGCCTTTTTTGTTTGTTTTTGGAGGGGGTTTATTTAGGTTTTCCAATCGATAGTTTGCAACTTAAAGGTTGACGTTTTTGCATGGGTGTATTACCGGATTCTTAACACCCAACCACAGTAAATTTTTTAAAAGTCAAAAATCCTAGATTAAAAAATCCCTACTGGACAGTGATATTATCTGTTCTGTGCAGCACGATGGACTTAACATAGTGTTGGCCTTCGAATGTTAAATAACAATAAACCCCAACCTCAACTGAATACAAATTGGGGGGTGGCGGTGGTTTTTTTTTTTTTTTTAAGGCTCAGCACTTTTGTAGCATCTGCCACTACGCATTTTCCAGGCATTGATTAGCCATGCAACTCCCATAGGCATGAAGTCCAGTTTTTGCAGATAAAGAGCAACAGTGGTGAGATGGTTTGCCCAAAGTCAAAGTGAGTCATTCGCAGAACCAGAAATAGCCTTGGACTTCGTTACTAGTCACATCTTTTCCATTAAATAATATTTCCTCCAAGAAGTCGTATTTAAAAATAGACGTTCTTTACCTTGTTACGTATTTTCACCAGAGGTGCTTTGAGATCATTGGATATAAAGGTATTTTCTTCTACGACCTGCAAAATTAAGTTTAGTTTCTCAAGAAAAAGCAATTTTTAAAAATTCTGATTGCTTAAAAAATAAAGTATAAACTTTATGGTACTTGTGTAAGCCATTTAGTAGTCTGAGCTTTATGTTAAAAAAAAATTCACAGCAGAGAAAGTGTAAGAGTTTGAGAGTGAAAATGAAAATTCCTATAAATGATTCAAGAAGCCTGGATGAACTCATAATGTTGTGAAACTAAACCCATAACGCGGTCAAGATGAATAACGGGAGGACAGGTTGGGTAGTAAGACCCAGCTTTACCATCTAGTGCTAACTCTAGTGTATTTAAAATGGAGGGAGGGGGTCTTTCAAGCTGGACCCACTAGCCAGTCACTGGAACTAGAACCTAATGGTGTCATTTCAAATCATCCTAGGCTGTAAACGTTTTTTCATAGGAAGGCTGCTTTCATATTATTTCTGGAAAAAGAAGGTAATTTTTTTTTCTGAAATTTAGTAGAAAAAAATCCAGAACCTCCAGTTGTATCATGCTGTAGAACTGGGGTCAGCAAACTTTTTCTGTAAAAGCCCAGAGAGTAAATATCGTAGGTTTTGCATACCATACAGTCCCTGACACAACTTCTCCACTCTATGCTGTTATAACACAAAAGCGTCTATAAGATGACATGTAAATGAATGAGTCTGGCTATGTTCTAATAAAATTTTTATTTTTAGGCCTTGACATTTGGATTTAATGTACTTTTCACGTCATGAAATATTACTCTTTTGATTTTTTTCAATCATTAAAAAAAAAAACAAAAACACCACATTCCCAGTTTGTGAACTTCAGAAAACCAGGCTGTGAGCTGGATTGGGCCCTCTGGCTGTCATATACCAATCCCTGCTATAAAAAAGGCTTAAGGTGGACTAGCCACTGAAATCGTACCAAAGGGTGCTTGGTTATTCAGATCTGTGTATAGCAACCAAAAATCAATATGCAAAGTCATTGTCTAGATATTTTTTCTTTTTTTTAATTTTTTTTTTTCTATAAAGACAAGATTTCACCATGTTGGTCAGGCTGGTCTTGAACTCCCGACCTCAGGTGATCCGCCCGCCTTGACCTCCAAAGTGTTTGGATTACAGGCGTGAGCCACCACACCTGGCCTGTCTAGATATTTAATTAAAATATTTTTAACTGAATATGGGAATGTCTAACATTCCTATAACTACCAAACTTAATGGAAAAATACTCTGGCAGTATTGCTCCTTCAACTAAGGCACTTGGGGCAGTCTGCTTAACCTCTGACAGCCTCGGTTTTCCTATCTTGTAAATTGCAGCTTAGAATACCTACTTCTGGCCCCAGGCAAGGTGGCAAATGCTTATAATCCCAGCACTTTGGGAGACTGAGGCTAGCAGATCCCTTGTGCTCAGGTGTTTGAGACCAGTATGGTCAACATGGTGAAATCCCATCTCTACAAAATATGCACAAATTAGCCAGGCATGGTGGCACACGCCTGTAGTCCCAGCTACTCTGGAGACTGACGTGGGAGGATCACTTGAGCTCAGGAGGTCGAGGCTGCAGTAAATTGAGATTGCCCCGCTGCATTCTAGCCTGTGTGACAGAGTGAGACCCTGTCTCAAAAACAACAAAAACCCTACTTTGTAGGGCTCTTGAGAAGACTGAATAAAATAATTTGTGTAAAGTGCTTAGCACAGTCCTGTCACATAGAACTGTATGATGCATTTTCATTGTGCCCTTAAATTCATTTTCTTAGTTAACATAACTCAAGAAGGTGAACAGGTGGCATCCCGGTATTTTGATGGCACAGACATGCATGTGGGGTTCAGGGACTCTCAGGTTGATTGAAGATTGTGAGGTTGGCATCATAAGTTTTGGTGGGTCTTTCTCAAGCTCTCAGAATCTCTGTGTGCCTGACAGAGGCACTCAGTGGGCACACACTAGCTGTGTGGCCTTAGACAAAATACCTAGGCTTTCTGAACCCTGGTGCTCCTTATACATAAAGACAATACCTTGTGAGATTGTTGTAAGGGCTAAATGGCATAAGGGTTAAAGGGGAAAAAAGGTAACAATTAGTATGTTAGCGGAAATTCCAGAAATAAACTAGAAATTGAAAGTTCACTATCAAAAGCTGCTTTGACATAAGTCATTCAGCTTTTAGACATGAATGACAATCATAACAGGTGCACAATAACTTAAATTTGCTCTGTTGCCACCTACTTACCCCTCCAAACCATTTAATTGCCATCAAAACCCTGTTGAGCAGGCCAGACACAGTGGCTCAGGCCTATAATCCTAGTACTTTTGGAGACTAAGGCAGGAAGATCACCTGAGGCGGGGAGTTCAAGGCCAGTCTGGGCAACATAGCAAGACCCCATCCAAGCTACGAGTGGGAAGCATCACTTGAGCCGAAATGTTCAAGGCTACTGCAGTGAGCCACAATTGAACCACTGCACTCCAGCCTGGACAACAGAACAAGACCCTGTCTCAAAAAAACAAAAAAAAAAACAAAACTGTTGAACAAAGGTTAAAACTCAGATCTTGAATGTTATCAAATATCAAA